TTTGCCACAATATTGCCGGATTTTGTGCCGAATTTTTTTTTTTGCAGAATGCCAATATTTTTTTGCCGATTTTTTGCTGATATTTTTAATGCTGAGTGACAGCAATCATAAATAATTCGTCAATATTTTTATTATTAAATTTTGTCAAATTCAGCAATAATTCGGCAGCCGAATGACATAATTTCGACTAGTGTTAAGTTCTTTTATAATATAAGCAGAACCCTTTTCTCTATTGATTCTTGTATAACTATTGATTCCAATTATTTCTTCTAGCAATAAACAATTTTTCAAGAAGATTAATATATAAACACATATTTCACATATTAGATTAAGTTAGACAAATTAGATTTGATATATATATCAATCTTCCCTTAAAAATTTTATATTGTTCTAATAATTCTCTCATTAGGTCTTTGTCTGAAAATAACTCAGCTATAAAGTAATTTCTTAATCTATCATTAGTTTATTAACTTATTATTGTTTTTTTCCAATCAAATATATCTATATAGTAAAACTTTGCTAGTAAACTTGATCAAGCCAACTTAAAAATAGATCATGTTATCAAATATAATATATGATATAATTTATTGTAAATCAAATAATCTAAAAGAAAGACCTGTGGATCAATAGCGTAGTGGTAATGCTCCCAGGTTGCCAAGTACTGTTTCTGAATTCAATACTATTGTGAGGCAGTACCACCTAAGCCTAAGTGGTACAAGAAGATCCCATCTGTTTCATAATGATGATCTAATCACCTCTGACCAAGACTCTATCCAATCACGAGATATCCAAAGATCACAAGATACTTTAGTTGGTTTTAGTACTAAAGTCACCTTGTCTCAAGACAGATTATTTCAAGCTCCTATAGATAGATTGAAGATCTGTATGCCGTAAAAATCAAGGAAGCTAGTGGAACCTAGACCTGTTAGTTAGAAGAGGGTCTCTATCAAATCAATATCTATTCAAGACTTCACATAGTTACTTTATAGGCAGGTTGTAATAGATCATGTAAAAAGAGTGCTTTGGTAGGACGAGATGATATCTAAGACTCCATGTGGGTATTCCGTAGGCATACTGTAATAAGTACTGTAAAAAGAATATTTGGTGGGATGAGATATAAAAGAGGTTTTGTATTACAGATCCCGGGCCTATAGATATGAGGGTTAGGGAAGAGTAATACAGACGCAGGTAGTAGGGTAGTAGGGCTTCTTCCGGCAACAAGTCATGGGAATACACAAGGTGTTACAATCAGGTTTATGGATATAATGATGGGATAGATATAATTTGCTATGGTTAGCATGAGATTGATTATAGAATTGTCCTGTAATTATTAGTTAGACTAATATGTAAAGCCATTCTATTGACTTCAATAAACTAGACTTCGTTATTCTTTAAAAAAAAAAATAAAATAAAATAATCTAAAAGATTTAGAAAGTTCAAAAAATTCAGGAGATCTAATAGATTCAAATAACTTAAATAATATATTTTTATAAATATATAAATAATAGTAATTTACAAAAGGTAAGATAAATTTATAAAAATAAATTTACTTTATTTTTGAAAGATTATATATTTTTTTTTTGACTTTAAAATTAAAAAAATTATTCTGGTTTTTTTGATTTATTAATAAATTTAGGTTTTGAGCAAATCATATTGTTTGTATAATACTATATAATTTTGATTAAAAAAATTCTTGATAAATCTATTTTTGATTGTTTTTTTATTATAATAATTTCTTCTTAATTATTTTTTTATGAATTGTTTTTTTAAAAATAATTTCACTTGAATATATTAATCAAATATAAATTTGATTATAACATCAAATTTATATAATATACTATTATTGTTTTATTAAAGATTTTTATTAATTATTTTGAGTGTTTTAATAAAAAAACTAAAATTATTTTTTTTATTATTATTAAATCAATATTTCAAAATTATTATATTTTTATCACAATAGATAATGAGATTATTATTGTTTCAATAAAATTTGTTATTTATTTAACTTTATATTTTCCATATTATACTTTGAATTTTCAATAAAACTAAGAATTGTTTAACTTAATATTTATTTGTTTCTTGTTAAAATTATATTAAAAAATATATTATAATAAAACACTTTATACAATATTTTTTCAAAAAAAAAAAAAAATCTAATTCATATAAAAAAAATTTTTTTAAATCATTATTTATCTTAAAAATATAGATATTTCTAGTACCTTAATAATTACTGTATACAATAGTTTATATTTTATTTTGCCTGAGACACTAGGGGAGGTAACGTTTAAGTTTTAGTCATGTGACTTATATGGATAACGGGGATGCTTATTTAATGAGATACAGTCACTAGTTTGAATTTAGATGACTTGCACCGTACGCACGCGCATACTTACGCACGCATAATGAGATCGGTGTTTTCATAATTTTACTATCAATCAGGATGATCGACTGTAGGTACAAAACTCCGCATAAATTCTTCAATGAATCTATAAGTGAAGACAAAGATGTCAGAGAACAATATTAACGTATTTATATAATGGGAAAAAAAATAAGGTTATCGCAATTCAGTTACCCGACGCCCGATTGCTATCTTCCAATTAACTACGACGTTTGACACAAATATTTTTATAAAGAAATGTCAGTTGCGGAGAAATCAGATGATTTAAGAGGCTACGGTAATGTGATGAAGATCATGTTACGTTTTACATATTAATGAACAAAGATTTCTTTAATGCCAAAAATTGACGGGACAATGGGCAATAAATAACTAAAAGCCTCAAAAAGCCATCCCCACTTTATGTCAAGTATAGACGCTCTCAACAACAGGCATCACAATTCAAGAGTGTATCAGGAATCAACCTAAAATGAAGATTATTTGTTTTTATTTATTATGCATCGTTAATTGGCCGTAGCGATTTTGCATTATCACGTGCAAAAAAATTTTGAAACAGTACTTGGAACTTCAGTCTAACAACCCGAATTAGAGGTTCATGCAATTTAGTATGTCTTAATAACAGGTTTTCTGATGGCTTGGTTTACCATTTACCCTTGTGCAAAAAATTAAAACACCTTAATTTGGTTATCACCACAATAAAGAAAGGAATATCGATAATGCTTATTGACAAATCTCATTTAACTTTTCCAATAATTTTCTATGGAGCGGATCACTCAGCACAAACAATCCTTTTGATGTCAAGATGCGATGTGTCGGCATTGATTGATATGTCCCGGAAATGATCTTTCCATTTCTCACTTGAACCACCCCAAAGATGTCTTCCGGAAAAGGAATGCGTCCCCTTGTTTATTAAATAGCAGATGATTAGGATTTTAACGTAATTCCTGAAAATTACAATAGAAAAAAATAAAAATAAAATAAAATAACCATGGTGGTGGATCTCTAACATCTGCATATTATAAGAAACATAAGATCGAATTTCATTTAATAATAATAGGTGGTTGCATAAAATATGAAACAGTATATATAATAACCACTCACCAGCAACATTGAGCCAGCTAGAACATTAGAGAAAGATTTTTTATCAGTAATAGTAAAAATAAAAAAATTTTTTCTATCTTTCTCGGTAACTAACCCATCCTTTTGGTATTTGGCCAGAGCTTGTAGTTGCGGGTCCACTGTTGTTACATTATCTGCTATAACCTGATGCATAAATTCTTCAAATCTTTTATTTTCCCTAAAATTTCGTAAGTTTAATTTTGGCACTTCTCCTTGAGCTGATATCCAGCCAATTATTGCTATGTCGTTTTTAGTAATTTTACAAGGATCAGAAAGAAAAGAAACTGAACGAGTGGTAATATCATTTGTGAGGTGATAAAAAAGTCCTTTATAAGTAGAGTCCTCAATGACATTTGGACTACTTGATAGTTGAGCCTTCGAGGTTAAAAACACAGGTCGGGCCCCCTTGAAACGACTACATAAACTCTTGGGTACCTTCACAAGTCTCATGAAACCCGTCATCTCTTGTAAGGGAATACGAAATGTACGTAAGCACGTATTTGCGATAATCATAGACACGTGACAATGGCGTCAGCTTATACCAGAAAAAACATTCAAATATTTGACCTTCATTCACTTTCACCATGCCTCAACTCGTGACAGCAGAAATAGAAACAACAATCCCAAGAGATGATGCTGGTTATCTTGACGAAACATACATAAGTACTCTGTCAAGGCGCCTTCGACAGAATCCAAATTATAGACCTGCTTCGGGTCAGGGTACCGAAGATCTTCCTCTGCCAGACGAAAATGCCCAGGACGACGCAGAAACTGACGTGACTGAACTTGACGACGAAGATTGGGAAGAAATACTTGAACAAACAAAGCAAATTTTTGTTGCCTTTTTGCTTCCACTCATAGGCAGGTGGTTAGGTCGAAAGTTTTCATTTTGGGGTAAAGTCTCAAATTTTCCTGTTTTTTATACGCATTTCTCGTGTCACTTGTATCTCGGAATGTACAATTCGAATCAATTGTAATATAAATCTTTTTACTCCTTATATAAACGTGTCCTAGCATGGTCAAGATTTTTTGAATGGTATTATCAACCCCGTCTCACTGAAAAAACGGAAACGACCCGAAAAACTGCTGCCCAAGAGAACGGAAAATGAGTTGTCTATTTCTTTTTGGCTTCTTTGTGGTAAGAGTCATATATTATACGATGCAAATATCTAATGTAAAATAATTTAATTGTACCGATTCATGGACTTTCTATGGTCACGATGAATCCGCACATTTCTCTCCTGTCACACTCCGTTTGACAAAATAAAGCGCAAACCTTTTCGATGTTCACCAATGTTCGAGATATCTGTTTATTTCATTTCGGATTCTCATTAGATCAATGATGAGATTTAATATGTCCCTTTATTGCATCTTATGACTAGGCTCTTGAATTTAACTTTCGCGGTGACCTTAATATAACGGTTTGGCTACGATGACGCTATCATATTGCAAACACATTCATCATGAATCCAAAATAATCATCTCAGTTCTAGGTTAATGAATCGTTTCACTTCTCCGTTATTGAGTATTTGTCTCAATGCGATAAATAAACGGAGGTATAGAGCGACAGCACAAAGAGATATTAAATGATCCTCTACGCGTAAGGTTGATCGAATAATTAGAACGTGCTCGCGAGGAACGAAAAAACAAACGAGAACGCGCGAATTTCATCATAAAGTAGTATAATTTCTGGTCCTATTAAGGAGTGTGACGTTGAAAAAATCTGTCACTCCAATTTAAGTTTATTGATGATACTTCTGGTCACTATAGGCATATACTGTAGGTTAACTGAAATTATTTTACAAATAATATGTATACACAGTACATATATTGCAATAATCCATTAAGTAAAGCTAATAGCATGCATTTATTATATCAATAGATTATTTAATATAAAATCTACTTAGCATTGTATATCTATAGAACTTAAGTTAATTAAATCTTTTATCAATATTTTGAGCAAATATTTTTCTAATAATTTATATTATTGTTAGTCAATTGTTTTTAAGAAAAAAAAATTTTTATACTAATGTTATATGATATATATGTATATCTACAGTTGCTTTCAAAAGTTTGAGTTTATTCACTATGATTTTATTATAAATTTTAACTTTATCAATTTTTAAATCCTTAATTTTTAATCAAAAATTATAAAATTTATATATATATTATATATAAATACCAGCTTTATTTTTTATATTTTTTTTCTTTATTAATTTTTACTTTTAAATGATTTTAATGGATTGTTACTATAAATTATATGATAATTAATAAAGTATTAAGGTATTGTGATAAAAATAGCATCTACTACCATTGGATAGTTATTTTTAGTCATGATCTTTATTCTATTTCTATTTTTATCTA